TAAATCAACATATTTTGTTGCTTTTCAATGTTACAAATTTGCATTTTTGTTGTTTAAAGGGATCATTAATCAAATTAAATTTGAACTTGTGAAATTCGTTGCAAAGACATTAATTAATCGACTAGGTACCGATTTAGGGCGTTGTGGGGGTGCTAATCCTTCCCCACACGTAACCGACTCCCGAACTCGGATTTTGGTAACGTAGACCGTAAATTTGTCGTTTTAATTAAAATTAATTTTTATTTAAAATGACAACGTTTTTGGGTGCCCAATCACACCCTAATCAAAGATTGGTGGCGACTCCTCGAACCATATGTTTTTATCGTAAAAGGAATTCCAAATTTTCGAAACGAGAGGTTTTCTAAAATTGCATTGTTTTTAATTAAAATTTAATTGAAAAGAGAATAATTAAAGATGATGCGGTTTTCAAAATCTCGCCCCCACCCCGTCCCATTAAAAATCGTTTCGACAGCCTGAAAAGACTAATTAGGTTGAAATTGTTATAGAAATTAAGATAATGATATTTTAAATATGTTAAAGTATAAGGTTAAGGAGTATACTAACATTTGTATGTTATGTCTACTTAATGGGTAATTTGTATATCGGAACCAAGTTCCTGAATCAAGTAAAGCCAAAGGCAAAGGCCAAGTTCTGGAGTAGCAAATTGTGAATTTGGAATATCAAAGCAAGGCAATCCAGGTGAGTCTTTTAATAGTAAGTATGCGAGATGAAGAACATTCAAATTAGAATGCTTTAAATTTTCATATGTTTTATATTGTTGATTATGTTATCTTAATATGAATGGAAAGAATATTATGAATGAGCTTTGGAGTATTAACTGCTCTAAATCGAAACATAATTAAAATGCATGAAAGGATGCATGAAGGCATTAACGGATGCCATAACTAAAATGCATGAAAGGATGCATGAAGGTATGAACGAATGCAATAACTAAAATACATGAAATGATGTATGAAGGCATGAACAGATACCATAACTAAAATGCATGAAATGATGCATGAAGGCATGAACGGATGCCATAACTAAAATGCATGAAATGATGCATTAAGGCATGAAAGGATGTGGGATATAATTAAAGTTAATGAACTAAAATGAAGTATGTGGGATATATTAAAGGTTTTTATGAGGATAATATGACCAAAATTTGGTCATAATAAGAAGGACTCAACTAGCTTCTATGGATGTTCTAATTTAGTTTGATGTCAAACAACTATGAGATACTTATATATCCATTAATGTTCTTTACTATATTGTATCTCACTAAGTAATTACTTAACGTGTGTTGTTTCTCACGCGTAGGAAAAAGTAAAGATTAGTCGAGTAAGGAGAGCTTTTGTAGCGGTGGTGATCATCAACTAAGGTGGACTTATCCGTGACACCAAGACAATCTTGTTTATTTTGGAAAAACTTTGTTGGCATGTAATCACGATATTTAAATGTTTTATCTTTAATCAAGTAGAACTTATAACAGTTGAAATCAATGGTTTGTTTTATGTTATAATATTATGGTTATATATATATAATGTGACACCTATATCTCGTGTACAGAAGGGTATACTGGGAATGAGTGTTACAAATAGCCCATGGTACATTACTGAGAACTTAAGGTATGTGAGTGCATTGAGGTTATGCACAAATGTTGTCACCACAGCTCATATAAATTGCACCAAAGTGCCGCGTAGAAACTGCACCGAAGTGCCACATAGAAATGTCTCGAAGGACCACATAGTATTGTCCTAAAGATCCGCATAGAAATGTCCCGAAGGACCACATAGAATTGTCCCGAAGGACCGCGTAGAACCTTTGACTCTTGGCATACCAATTATACCCTCAACTCGCTTTACCACTTATATCATTTATTGTATCTTATGTCACATAGACAAGTAATCACGTAGGTCATGTCATATGACTTATATCTTATTCTCATATATTCACATAGATCATATAACACATAGAATAATATATAACACATAGCTCATGTATAACAGTGCATATAACATATAAGTATACGCATGTACTCATGTACACATAGAAATCATATCAACAATAGACTTGTATTAATGAAATCATGCAATCACACATTGAAAATAGACTCATCGCAAGTCTTCTTTCCATTTGATCATATTTCTTAGTAGCATGCACTCATCTTAGCCTCACTTAGTCCAATCAACACTTATAACTCGTTATCTCTCTCTTGCTCAATCTTATCTTGTTGACTAGTCCAATACTTGCTTGTGTTCTATATCTACACAAATATACGATTGACATAAATATCAGAATTCATATCACTATAATCAATTCTTACTAATATAAGCTAAACAAAGCACTTAATTTCACAAATTCCATATGAATAGTATCGGTTCCTAAGGACAATACCGATACTTCTTTACTTATAGTATCGATACTATACTTCAGTATCGATACCCATTCTCGGTTCTGGAATTTTATCTCTGAAAATGGTATCGATACTTATAACCTGGTATTGATACCTTTGGTATGGATACTACTACTTCGGTATCGATACTCATTGAATAATTCCTCAACTTTTGACTTATGGTATCGATATTGTTCATCCAATATCGATACCCAGACCCAATTATCACACTTTCAATTTGAAGTATCAATACTATTCATCTAGTACCGATACCCTATGCCCATAACTTATTCGTTTCAACTCGAAATTTGACCAAAACTACCTAAAACCTTCCACTATGACTTCCTTTCAAGCCTTCAAACTTAACTACACTTATAACATTCAACTTATATTACTCTAACACACTTAATTATCCAAATTCCCATAATATCACTTGAAACTAAGAATCTTACCAAACTTTCAACATGCTCTAAATCTATTTCTAACACTTTAGATTTCTTATTTTAGCTTATGACAAGTCAAATTTTACTTCAAAATTCATTTACTAACTATTTCTCAACAATTCACTTAAAAACCCTTTATGTTTAATCCCTCATAACTTGTAATTCTCTCAGTTTCTATTTCTCTTTAAGCTTTCTTAAGCTTTCCTAATACTCCAAGAATCAAAACTACTCATAACTTACAAGAAATAACCAACTGAAAACATTCTTACCTTAGCTATGGAACTCACGGTGGGGGAAGGAAGAAATGATGAAGAATGATTCTAGATTCCTTTCATTTTTCTCCCTTTCCCCTACTCCACGTGTAATATAATATACCCTAAATGAATTTTAATCTCATTCTTACTAAAAGACCTTTTTGTCCTTCTATCTTTCCATCTTTGCTAATTAACCTACACCAATAATTTCAAATTAACTCCGTAAACTTTTCAATTTATCTAATTTGATCACAAAATATTAAAATCTTACAATTTGTTCACTAACCCAATTTTTGGGATGTTACAGGGGAACTCAATAGAAATCTAGAAACATGATAGGATGCTACCATCCGAAGAGGATCTAGAGTTAACCTACAAAAAGGAACTCAAACAAAAATTAGAAAACAGGATGGGGATATACCCTCCAAAAATGATCTTGAGACCTCCGTAGATAATCTTAATGCAAAAATTATACCAGCTAACATATAATGTATAATACAACAACATTTAGGAATTACATATGCTTGCACAATATATATAACAAAGAAACAAAACACAATATAAAAAGTAAGCATATAGTACATATTAAGGAACACACCTATACCAGTTAAATGATACTAGGTAAGCCCTAGGCATTTCTCGATTCATCATACTATGTATTGCGGAATGAGAACCTAACAACAAGGTACTACCTTGTAAGCACTAACAACATATCTCATAGGAATAAACAAGTAACTTATTTAACAACACTTATGCGTACCTCAAGTCGAATAAGTAGAGTTGAATTGAGTTGAACGGTGATTGTCCAGATCTACTAAAGAATGGTGCAAAGATACATTATCACCTTCAGAGCACAACATCAAAGGGTAAGTCCTTAAATTCTAGAGTTTACTTAACATAATTATAACATAGTGCAATAAATGACACAAAATGGGACTTTTGGATTAGAATTTGGTAAAACGGACTCAAGTAGTCTAAAAACATAAAAAAATATTCAATGAAAAAGCCAATGACCAACGATAAAAGTCAATGATAAATGATTAACAATCAATGGTCAAAGTCAACGAGTCAAAGTGGTTTGATCCAGTTTGAGTATACGGTTTGGTTCGGGTCAGGGGTTCATACCACTTCGATTGGTTAGTAGGAAATTCATTTTCACACGTGCAACGACGACACATATGGCATGTGAGACGACCTCTAATGGTCGAACTATTCTTTCCATATTTACATTTTAGAGTACCATGAATCTCTTATTGAGGTTGATTTAGGACCGAGAACAACTAAGAGGTGACAATAAATAAACAAAAAAAGACTATTTTTTCCTTCATAATGCTCAAACAACGTGACGGAAAGAGTGAGGCTAGACCCGATCGAACCAAAACAAGGTGGATAATGTATTGATGTCAACGGTGCACTCCACGACAGCTCGACGACGGGCAATTATAAGAATAACCGAAAATGAGAGGTGATGGAGAGATATGTCAAATGCAATTGAAATTTTAAAATAAGGAAAAGAAAACCAATTAAAAAAAGGATATTTAAATACCTTAACTTGGGATAATTATAGAAGAAGTCCCTGCACTTATAGGGACCTTAGAAAATGATCCCAAAATTTAAAATACTTACAATTAACTCTATTTTGGGGTGTGACAATTTAATTTATTTAAATATTTTCTCACGTACAAATTAAACGATTTTAGTAATTAAAATATAATTATTGTTATTCTTAGAAGTATTAAATTCTAGCATAACATCAACAAAATTATAGAGAATATTTCAAACAAATATCATCTGTAATAAATAACTATATTTTTTAATTAATTATAGATACAATATTTATTTATTTCAACAATTGGCAGCGTCGCCTTTTCTTTCGCTCATTTATCCTCCCAGACATTTTCTATTGAATATTTTCCCATCGACGACCTTCAGCCAAACCCTTATTTTCTCTCTGCCTTGCCACTGCTGCATTTCCTCTTATTTTGATCCCTTCTCTCCCCTCCTCTCTTCTCTCTTACTATTCTTTACCCATTTTACTCTTAGTATTATTATATAGATTTATGCTTTCCATTCAACTCCAGCGAATCCACACCTCTTGGTCAAATCGGTAAGTTTTTTCATCATTTTCTAAGTTAGTATTCAATGACCCAGATTTTATTACTTCCGATATTTTTCTCAATTGATAGGCTATTGGACTTTATGATATTCATGTAAGGCTTACCTTGGAATTATTTGTGAATATTTTGAGTCCATTGAAGATCATGTTTAATGTTGCTTATCATTATTTGTTTTTTCTTTTGCACGTATTTTTCATTGTTTAAATTGATTAAATCTTTTATAGATTATGAATTAATCTTGTACATGATTCATCGATATAGGGCTTTGTCGTTCAAGAAAATGGAACTTTAGATGAGAGGGATTGGTTCGATAAGTTCAATGCTGCTAGACTCTGGTGAATATTCTATTTTTTGTAATGTGAAGTGTTAGTGCTTGCGTTTGGAGATTGGGTATTAAGTGGTCGAGTTCATGCTTGATTTGGGATTTTAATGAAGTTAAATTGTGACTCTTTTTATATCAATCGTTATTTTTCAATAATTTCAAGCTCTTTATATCAGGTTAACTTTGATGTCTTATTTTATTGTATATGCAGAGTACATTGGTTTACCAAATTTCGTATTCTTCATTTCCATGCCGGACACATGTTCTTAGCTTAAAGTATATTGTGTTAGTCAGAAGAAAATGATGTCTGAAGATGCTGGACAGATGTTGGTCATTTATGACGATCCTTCAGATCAACGGTCTTTGTCTTTAGATGAAACAAGTAGCACAGAGGAATCACCTGAAGAAACCCGACTTTCTCTGGAAACCACTAACGATGCCATTCCATATATCGGGCAAAGATTTGCAACTCATGATGCGGCATATGAATTTTATAGTGAATATGCAAAGCGATGTGGCTTTTCGATCCGTCGTCATCGCACAGAAGGAAAGGATGGGGTTGGAAAAGGGCTTACAAGACGTTATTTTGTCTGTCACCGTGCAGGAAATACACCTGTCAAGACCTTAAATGATAGTAAACCCCAAAGAAACAGGAAATCATCGAGATGTGGATGCCAAGCTTACTTGCGGATAAGCAAAGTAACAGACTTAGGAGCTGCAGAATGGCGTATCACAGGTTTTGTGAACCACCACAATCATGAACTTTTGGAACCAAATCAAGTTCGGTTCCTTCCTGCATATCGAACCATGTCAGATGCAGATAAGAACCGGATCCTTATGTTTGCCAAAACAGGAATCTCAGTACAGCAAATGATGAGGCTGATGGAACTTGAGAAGTGTGTGGAGCCAGGATATCTACCCTTCACTGAGAAGGATGTGAGAAATTTGGTTCAGTCATTCAGAAAATCATATCAAGAAGATGAAAACATAGATTTGTTAAGAATGTGTCGAAACAATAAGGAGAAGGACCCCTACTTCAAATTTGAGTATACACTTGATTCAAACAACAGGCTAGAAAACATTGCTTGGTCATATGCATCATCAATCCGGTCATATGATATCTATGGTGATGCTGTGGTGTTTGACACGACTCATCGTTTGACGGCATTCGACATGCCACTTGGGATATGGGTTGGAGTGAATAATTATGGCATGCCTTGCTTTTTTGGGTGCGTGCTTTTACGAGAAGAAAATTTGAGGTCATTTTCATGGGCCTTAAAGGTAATATAATATTTTTTTATATAGCTTTTTTCAGTCTATCAGATTGCATAGCTTATGGTTCCCAGTTTTCTGCCAGGCAGGTAAAGAGGGAAGGGAAACAATAATTCATTCAAATGAATGATTTAGTGTATTGGATAGACTAACAGAGTGCTGATAGGTTTACACAAGATGAAGACTTTTTTCTTTCTTCTAATTGTAGAGGGTTCCTTTCCTCTGTTGGGAGTATGGAAAAAAAAATCTATAGTATACAAGGATTGGTGAGTTCATATGCTCTATCACAACTGCAAAATGTTAGGCCATTTTGAGCATGAACCTACCTAATTTATACGCATTCAATTTTCATAAAATCAGGATTGGATGCAGGAACTTTCTGCAGTGACAAAGGGAGGATGGGTTGTAAGAACATTATTTTAATGAAAGTTTTCTTGTACAAAATATATATACACACATACATGATCTTTACCCTTATATTCTCATGGCTCTCAAATTTGCTACTGTTCCTTCTTTGTCTTGCTACTCTCCGGCCTCCCCGAATGGTTTTCCCTTTCTTCTTTATGGTTTTTGTTAGGGGCTTGCTAAATCGGTGTCTTTCTATTGTTCTTTTATGTGAAAGGCATTCTTAGGTTTCATGAATGGGAAGGCACCGCAGACGATATTAACTGACCAAAATATGTGTCTCAAAGAAGCCATAGCCATTGAACTGCCTACAACTAAACATGCACTCTGTATATGGATGATTGTGGCAAAATTTCCATCCTGGTTTAATGCTGTTTTGGGGGAGCGCTACAACGAGTGGAAGGCTGCGTTTTATCGACTCTACAATTTAGAGTCAATTGAGGATTTTGTATTGGGCTGGAGGGATATGGTCAACTCTTTTGGGTTACATACTAACAGACATATTGCCAACTTGTTTGCATTACGCTCGCAATGGGCTTTGCCATGCTTGAGAAGTCATTTTTTTGCTGGAATGACTACAACTGACCACTCGAAGGCAATCAATTCTTTCATTCAAAGGTTTTTAAATGCACAGACTCGGCTTGCACACTTTGTGGAACAAGTATGCTCTCTATCTATAATTTCCTTCAAAACCAATTGTGATATTTTATTGAATCTCCACTCATGATTCCTGAAGCACGTGCATCTAGAGTTTTCATTTAGCTGTTCCTCGAGGTATAGGAAAGAAATTGATTGTTTTAGGATATCAGAATATCTGTGTTAGTAAGTAGGCTTGTACAAACTTTTATTTGTCAAGTTGCCAGCCATTGCTTCTTTAATCAAGGTGGGAAGTAATGCTTCTCCTCTGTGTACCCTGAATCTGATTGACATGTAAAACTATTGCTCTTTGAAACATGGATAATGTTATCCATTAAACTTAAAGCCATCTTCATTATCACCTTAAGCTGAGCTTTACTCCATTTTATGTCTACCCGGTTTTAACCAAAGGAAAAAATTGTAGTAGAGAATTTTCAAGGTGTAGAAAAGCAATGAAATTTGTAAGAACACCTTTCGGAATTTATATCCAATTTGTTCTTTCTTTATTGTTACTGTTTATCTACATGATTAAACACTAAGAAGTCTACATTAAGATAATAGAGCCTAGATTAGATGCAGTTTGATCGACTTGCATCAATCTGAACTTATTTCTGATTCAGCAGTTAGGATTAAGATTTCTTTGTAAGTAAGCCTGTCAAGTTTATTTAACCATGCTTTTATCAGTTGATGGGTTCAAATCTTCCCCGGGGTAACCTTGGGCTTGGAAGACGATCTCTTCCAATTAACGTATAAACCTGAACCTCATGCTGCTAAATTAAATTTGATTATCTTGTCATTTCGCACCGTCATCATGGTGGGGTTGGAAATTGGCTTCTATTTGGGATCAGCATTTATCTTGACACCTATTTTCTTTTTTGTGACTGTGGTACTTGTTTTTGCTTGTAATGCATCAAAAATGTGGTTGGCTCCCTTTTTAATCCAACTTTGCAATCAGGTTGCTGTTGCTGTGGATTTTAAAGATCAAGCAGCAGAACAACAGACAATGCAGCAGAACCTTCAAAACATTTGCCTAAAAACTGGAGCTCCTATGGAATCTCATGCTGCCTCTATCCTCACTCCTTTCGCCTTCTCGAAGCTTCAAGAACAACTAGTTTTAGCTGCTCACTATGCATCATTTCAGATGGATGATGGTTTTCTTATAAGACATCATACAAAACTCGAGGGAGGACGAAAAGTGTATTGGGTTCCTCAAGAAGGCATTATAAGTTGCAGCTGCCATCAGTTTGAGTTCTCAGGAATTCTTTGCCGTCATGCCCTTCGAGTTCTCTCCACGGGAAATTGCTTTCAGATTCCAGACAGATATCTTCCTTTGCGCTGGAGAAGGATCAACACATCACCCACAAAGCTTCTACAAGGTTCTTCCAGTGATCACGCTGAGCGGATTCAGTTGTTGCAGAGTAAGGTATCAACACTTGTAGCCGAATCCGCCAAATCAAAGGAGAGGTTGGATATGGCTATGGAACAAGTCTCCATTCTTTTATCTCACGTAAGAGAGCTGCCGGTTACATCACAAGGTGCGTCTGATATTTCCCCTATTCGTAGAAATCTTTAAAGACTCTGCCGGTTACATCACAAGGTGCTTCTAATATTTAATATTTCCCCTATTCATAGAAATCTTTAAAGACCCTAACTCGGAACAATTAGTGCAGAAAGGCAAGATGAGAAATTTCGACTAAAAAGAAGGGAGGGGGGAATCAGATTGAGGTTAGAAATGCAAGAGTTGATGAATGGTTCAGCATTTGCAAACTAATTTTGTAATTATGTAATGCAATCAAGATATACAAGTTGCACTCCATAGGCATAGTTGTTGCCTGTTCCTTTTAATGTTTTGCTTGCTTATACTTTGGTCAAAAAAAGGGAGGGGATGTTCTTGGTGTGTAAAATATTTACAGACAAGGCCGCTTATTTTGTGCTGTATGAAATTCATGGTAATTTTAGGGTGAAATGGGTGAGAAAAAAGAAGAGAAAATTACCCATTTTGCTTTTGCTCTCATTGCATAACAAGAAATTGTTCAAAATGGACTTTAATTCTTTCTTTTGTAAGGCAACTGAATAGTTTAGGTCAATAATCAAATGTATTATTTTTGTTGCGCGCTTAAATGCATTTAAATTAACGTCCTCTTTATAATAAAAAAAACATATCCTCCTATAGATCTTAATTGAGTTAAGATTTAATCGATAAACACATGAGATGCGCATCTCATTGGGTTATTATTATTTTGGTATAACCACTTATATCTGATCTGTTGATCGATTAATCTATATTAGATATTAAAGAGGCAAGGGCGATTTTTTCAATTCAGTTTACTTCATTCTTAATCATTAGGATTCGAATTCCTGATCTTACTTAAATGATCTAATGTCTCATCATACTATACCAACTGATCGTTGGTATTTATTATTATTATTATCATTAAATAAAATATTTAAAAAATATTTCAAGAATTGTATAACCAAAATATGTTTTAACACATTTATTTTTTAAAAAGGAAAAAAAGGTAAGAGAGAAATTAACAATCGTATAGACTATTGACAAAAGAGAGGAGCAACAATGGAAGAGGGAAAGGTTTAAAATATTTAAAATACTTTTATAAAATTATTGTAGATAAATAATTTAATTTTTTTTAAATCGAATCATGCCGATAAACAATAGATATACGGCTAAAATATTAAGCTAAGTAGAATTTAAGATTTAATCTATAATTTTATACATTATAAATTAAATGTTAAATGTTTTATCAAGAGGATTGATTTAAGTGGTAAGCAGTTTGATATCACTTAAGTAAGGTCTTATGTTCGAATTTTTGTATATGAAAAAAATCCCTGTTGAAAGACTCATCCAAAACCAAGTTTGCGACGTGAGTCGATCAGGATTAATCACGGCGATACTTTGAAACTAGGAGGACAACAAAAAAAAAAGTTAAATGTTTTATGTTTTCTTGATTTAAAAATTTTAATTCAATTATTATTATTATTGTGAATACTTTTATAAAAATGAACAATTTTAATATATTTATTCTTTTGTCACATTCAATCGTATGTTACGTCATACGAGAGTAGTTTAACAATGAAAATAGAAATTTTATTCAAACTAAAAAATAAAGGAAATTAGTTTTTTTATAATTTAACCGTGCAGTTGTATAATTTAAATAAAATTCAAAGTACAATATTATAATTGATAAAATTAAAAGTTCAATTGTATAAATGGTATAATATCTAAAGTTCGGTAATATCTATAGTTTACTCTTACACTTTTTATTTACTTTAAGTATGGGACTAAATCTCAAACAATGTTAATGTACAGGGAGTGATTACATATTTTATCTTAAATATACTGATTTGTATATGAGAAAACATTTAGAAAAGAAAAAAAAATCCTATAAACCTAAGTCCTCAAAAATTAAAGGGGGAAAAAGGTTATTGTCGGAGAGACGAAAAAGGCGAGGAGATGGCGACGACGGTTGTGAAGAGCGCTTTGCAGCGATCCGTGAGAGAGGTCTCCGTACTTTGTTGAGGGGCCTCAAGGATGAAGGCCTCACGTTCGTAATCCCACTCTCTTCCCTTCTTTCCATTGCGATTTCTGTAAACGTCTCTTAATTATTCGATTAAAAGTGTGAACAACCCCCTTTTTTTTTACATTATTTTTCTATCTGTGATTCATCATTTTTACTGATTATTCCTTTTCTTTCCCTTCAGGAAATGCTTCTTGGATGGAAACCTTCTGTACGTCAGATTCTCTTTCATAATAATCTCCGGTTCTTTTTTACTTGGGACGTTATAATTAAAAGCTCGTTTCATTTGGAAAAAAAAAGGGGGAATTAGGAGGTTGTTGAAATTGAAATTTTAGATAATTTCTAAATAGAATATGTTGTATGTTACCAGAATATAATTTGAATTCGGCATTCCATTTCTTTTGTTTTGTTTTCTCGAGATTTGAATGAATAGAAAACCTGAAACTTTAGCAAAACATGACTGTAAATCCGCTTGATTTGGGGGTGGGGTGGGGGAGGGGAATGGATCTGGAAATATTATCCAGCTTCAGTGAGATGTTTCTGATTTAAATAATGATTCTAAAATCTACTACTTGCAAAGACATTCAGTGGCTTCTGGGCAAGGATAAAGGGAGAAAAGATTTTGTAATTAGAAACTGATTCACAGATAAACAATGTTAATAATTTTGAGCTATTAAGTGTTTAGAAATCTTAAGATTTAAACCCCAACTCCCTTGGGTCTAATCCATTGACAGGAGGAAACAATTTTCCACTTTTTTATTTTTATTGGTTGTGTGGAAGTTTTGAGCATAGACTTGAATTCAAGTTAGGAAACGAGTGGTATCTGCAGTTTTAGTGATTTTTTCAATGGCACTAAATAAAATTGCCATGGATTTTGCTTCCTTTTAATTAGGATATAGTTTGCCTACGCATACCACTTATTGCCTAACTTGAATTCAAGGTTCTGATCTTAAACCTGCATGGCATTTTCGTGACAAAGCTAATAGATTTCTAACTAATCTCTTTGATTTTCTGGTCTCATACGACATGTTTGTTTGCTGCAATGCAAAGTCAAGAAGCATTGCTTGTGAGTTATAACCAATGGGCCATGAATGTCATATGCAATTTTTATGCTAATTGCTTTCTTTACCTTTATGGTGGCAAATGAATAGGGCGTAATTGTGAGGGAAGGCTATCTAATCTAGATATCTTCTGTTGGTTCCAGGAAGTTGTGAAACTGGAGTAGAAAAATATTTTCAGTCCATTGTTTTTTTTTAAGATAAAAAAGAGGATGCACTTGGCCTTCTGTGAAGATTATGTTCTCTTAATATTTGATAGTTAGCCTGCTGCTAATTGTGTCGTTTCTAATTATGAGAGCAAACTATATAGGGGATTTTGTTTTCTCATATGGGCTTGACACGCATCTTCCTATAGATTAGTTGCATTTTTTTTTCACTTTTCCTATTTTTACCATTTTTTCTATATATTGTGTTTACAATAAAGGATTTTTCTTTTTTATCTGATTCGTCCAGCTCTTCAAACCTCGGGAGTTCTGGAATCACCTTCTGTTAGATCTAAATAATGCACAAGTCTGAATTTAATTTCGGATATGCATATCATTGTTATTTATTTCGTCTGTGATAATAAATTGACTGGTTAATCCAGGCAAACCAAAATCCACGGCATTGAAGCAACACTTGTGGGTGTTGATAAATTCGGCAATAAGTATTATGAGTAGCTCGGAGATACACAAATTGGTTAGATTTCCTCCCTTTTTTATATGTACATGTTGAAGATGCCAGAAGGAAAATTAGGTGATTTTAAGTCTGCATGCTCGAGCTTTTAAGTACGCAAAATGCACAAGATTTTCCCTTCAGCTGTATTTTTGATATTGTTGTTTTTCATATTTCCTTGCCTTGCATGCATATGGATGTATTTACTTATTACAATCAACTATGTGCAACAATAACCACTGCCACTATGAATGTACCTTACAAGATCGCAGTGCTTTGATTTATGGTTATTACCGACATATACCATTCATGGCATTTGTAGGAAGACACAGGTGGGTTGAATATGCGAAAAAGAATCGTTATGATGCTTCTCAGGTACCGCCGGAATGGCATGGTTGGCTTCACTGCATAACCGATCACGCTGGTGATGAGGCAAGTCTCGATTTCACTATGTTGCCTTACACACATATATGTATTTGCAGCTTTTGATGCTAAAACCCAAGAGGTATGGGGTTGAGCACAAGGAAAATTTATCTGGCCAAGGTAGCGAGTTTATCTACCATTCGAAAGGGCACGCGCTTAACCCGGGCCAGAGAGACTGGACAAGGTACCAATCATGGCAACTAACCAAGACAGAGTAGTCCGAGGAACCAACCAACCTCTTGAGTTTGCAAGTTCTGGGATGTTTGACTTTGTTTTTGATGAATAATATTGTGTTCGTCTTAAAGAATAGCTTTTGCTGCAAACTATCAACTTGATATTTGGGTGTTGTCAATAAATTTCAGATCATCATCTGATATTGTTGAATTTTAATCTGAATTGATGTTTTAGTTTGTGTTCTAGAGTGAGGATATGGTAAGATTGTAAAAATTCAGACCGGATTGGTCGGTTCAACCATACAAGTTAAACCGGAAAATTAAAAAGTTGATTGGAACCAGTAAAAACTGCAAAGCAGAAACTTGGAATTTTGTATTATTTATTTATTTTTAACAAAAAGGTTTTTAAAATACGTTTTGGTTTATTCTCATTCTTCTTTTGATATATTTTTTCTTTTTTTCTTTTCTTTTTATTAATATCTTCTATGTTTTTCGGCCTCAATTATTAATTTATTTATACAAGACTGTCCAAACAGAAAGGGTTGGGCCCACGAGCCCAAACCAAGAAATTTCCAAAATTTGGAGTGGGTCCAATATAAAGGAGCTACGATCACTTTAAAATAAAAGGTAAATCACACTCTTTTATCACTGAACTTTAATCAGTTTTCTATTTTAGTCATTTATCTTTAAAACATTTCAATTTCATCATTACAATTTTGAATTACAGCTACTTCAGTCCTTCAAACATTAAATATAAAACAATACGGTGATGAGGCATGCTATATATTGATGCGAATGTCACATATTGTCCATCTATTTTTTTTTCTTTTTTTCATTTTCATTTCTTCTCAATAAAAACAAAATTTTTGTTTTACCTTTATGTATCTTCTTCATTAAAATAATCATTTTTTAGTATTTTATTTGATCACTTCAGATACAAGTGAACTTATTTCATTATCTTCAATTACTATATGAATTTATTTTTTAAAAAAACTCCCTTTATAATCCTTTAAATTTAACTCTAAATCTAAAAAATAACTCTAACCTACAATCTTCGTCATTCGTTCAAGATCAAAATATATTTTCTGTCTCCTCCTTATGTACCTTCTATTGTTGAGATTTGGACAAAAATTATTCTCTAGTATAAGAAAATAAAAAGGAATCAAAATATTTAATTATTGTTAACGACAGTTAACTTGAGGTGACCAAATTTTATTTAAATAAACATGTAAGTGACCATATCTTATGTATTTTGAAATCAGTGACCAGTAGAGGATAAAACTTAAAGATAAGTGATCAACCGTGTAGTTAAACCTAAAATAAAAGATTAAACACTTTAAAGTTGAGTGGCGAAGTACAAACGAGTTTTAGGTTTTGGTAGACAGAAAAAGAAAATAATGGCGAAGTGTTTCAACGTAGTTCAGAAGCAGAAGAGAGCACAAAGAGCGGAGAGAAAAAGAGCAACCCATGGCGACCCTTCAACTAAGAAGCTTAAGAACAAATCTCAATCGCTCTCCATCTCTGGCAAGCGTAAACGCAAGCTTCTCAAAAAATGGCGCAGGGTATGATTCACTTGCTCCAATGGCTTCCCACGGAAATATATTTTTTTCTTCTATATTGAATCTGTTCTTTGCTTTAATGGATTCTTTTATTTCTCTTTGGAAATAATCATCTGGGTTTTTTATGGTAATGACTAATAGGATCAAAAAGAAGTTATAGAAAAGGGGTTGGTGACTATGGAAGATGTGGAGATGGTGGCTGCTGAAGGTATTTTAATTTTATTTTTTCATTTTAGTGTTTGATTTCTCGACTGTTCTGTTCTTCAAAAACTGCAATTATTCTTCTAAATTATCATTTGAGTTGGGTGTTGATTGATAAACTGAATTTAAATACTTAAGCTTAAATTCTTAAAGATGTTTGATGTATTTACCTTATAATTACTATGCAATTAAGCAGCTCATAAGTGGATCCTTACATAATTTGGTGTTGTGCTTGGATAATCGCTAGCTAAATGATCCTGGAAATTTGGTTTTACTGTTTTAACTTTTAAGAAAAGCTATCTGAAGGTCAGTTTAATGGTTGACCATTACCTCTGGTTTGCATTTTAAATCCCATTATGTTTGCTTAATACAGGTACATCTCAAGATGCCAACAACAAGGCACCAACAAAATTCCACATGAAGAAGAATTTGAAGCTCAATTGTGTTAAGCGAAAAGGTTAGATAGCTTATCCTCTGAAATGCAGCATTCTCTCTTTGTATGTTATCCGGATTTTGGGTACTTGTTGGATAGGGGTTTGTTTCCAACATGGATAGAGGGAAATTGTCTAAAATTTAGACTCCACGAGTATGATTACTTGGATGTCATCCGACTTATTTAAATGTATCTGAACCTTAGGTTCTAAACCCTAAACAGGACATATAACATCAATACAACCCTGCTTGTAGAATTTTTTTCGGGGGATCATATCCATTATCTATGTGTCCATGGTGCCCTTTATGAATTTTAGTTTAGGGTTGAGTTTCTTTTTCCGAACAAATATTCATGGAACATAATTCATTCATTGTAAATACAGGTAAAAAGAAGGTTTCTAAGCCTGCCAATGAAGCTTCAGTGGATTCCATGGTAGAATAAGTTTTGATGAAGGAAACCAACATTACTCTGGGGGACTTGGCTTCGTACGATATTGTCTTGGAATCAACTTGGCAAGGATATTTGATAGGCTAATGCTTGTTTTATTTATATATTTTGTGGTAACATCTATGTTCTGCATACAATTGTTCTAACCAGTTGATAGTAACGAGTTAAACTTGTTGGATTTTAATCATTGAACTGAAATGTTTTTATTTATTTATTTATTTATTTATTTATTTTATAATAGAAAAATAAACATCACTCAAATATTTTTTGATTTAACTCTTGGGGAGTTTAAAAATTATGATTAATCATAATCTTTTTAATTGACCCTAATCTTAATCTTAAAGTTGGATTTGGCTCGACTCATATTGTATTTGGTTTCTGTTTATTTGAAATTTAGAATGTCAAACTGAACGCAGTTACAAAAATTTTATAAAAAAAGCTTGATGTACCAATAAGAGATGCCTAACTATTTTGCACCCACAAGTTACTATATTATATGCCAATAATGAGTAAAAAAGGGAATCTTGATCTCTTTAGAAGTCTTGAATTTGAGGTTTTGAATTTGAACGGTGTTGTTTGTAAGATTATCTTGTTAATAGGTTAAGTTCTAAACTGATTCTATCTTGTTATTACCCTAGACCATTCGATACGTATATGTATAATTACACATTTAATATGTTTAGTTAATAATTATAATTACTTTTCATTAAGGAAAGGTGAAATTAAACTAAGTACATGTTAAGTGCATAATTAATTTGTAATGCCTCGAATCCTGAGTTAGAAGTTTTGGGCTAACCCGAGATGGGCCTTGGATTAATTTCTAGCTTGTGGGAAGGTTTGACCCAAGTTGAAGTGAATTTGGGCTTGAATTTAGCCCAATAGTGAGCAAAGAGAGTGTTTTTTTAATATGCAGGATTAGAGGGACCAAAGAAACAATTATACCCTTATTCAAAAATAAAGTTGAATTCCATTAAAATTGGGTGATATCACTGTCTGAGCAAGCCTCTCTTTTTCTTCATTGCCTTTGTCTTCTTCCAAGCTTTCATCCTTTGTTCTTCTTTTTCTTCCTTCAAGTAAGATAGTTAAAGGAGGTAACTTGGTAGCCTTTCAACCCTAGCTCAGCAACACAAGGTATTAAACAAATTTAGCATCTTTAGAGCTTTCATTTGAGCCCTAAACTCCACCTTTTCACTATGGGAATGGAGAACAAGTTTTGTGGGGTTTAAGAGTTTTCAAGATTTCAGCCCGTTTTCAATAATATGTAGGCTTAAGAAGTGTTCTTGTTACCTTCTTAACCATTTTATTCAGCTAGTAATACATCCTTTTATGTTTGTCTAGAGAGAGATTGGAGAAAGCTCCAAGGCTAAGGGGAAGGAGAAACTCACCTTGGGTCGAGCTTTTGACATTTCCTGTCACACCCCAATTTACGGGTTAAAATTTCATATGATATTTATAGAAGTAGTTTGATTAAAATGTTGGGTTAACAAAGAATTTTGAAAAAGATTAAGGACTTTAAGTATAATTTTACCTTTTTAGGGTTTAGTTTTTCTAGAATTCACGTGAATTCTATCTATCATTGATGTGAATTTATTATTTTATCCAAAATGTTTAGAACCATAAATTGATGAGATTTTTTTATAATATTCATTTTTAAATCTGGGAACATTTGGTCTGTTCTAAAAACTCCATTATATACAATAATTTTTGTAATGGTAATGGACATGCCAACTTTTCTGCAATCTTTACAGCAACATGAAATCTTGTTGAATTCATGTCGCTTGTTCTTCTCATTTTTGGTCATCGTCTTCATCGTCTTGATTCATCCAACTGGCAAAAGAAAACTAATTTTATCGCTGTCGCCGTCGAAACTGCCTATCATCGGAAATCTCTACTACAACGGTCGCTACCTCATCGCTCACTCCATGTCTTATCTCGACGATTCGGCCCTCTCATGTCGTTCCACTTCGGCAATGTCCCCGTACTCGTCGTGTCCTCCGTCGAAGTTGCCCGTGAGATCACCAAAACTCATGATCTCACATTCGTAAACAGACCAAACGCAGCTTCTTGCATATACTTCTATACGAATACAAAGACGTCGCGTCCGCACGTTACTGTAAATATTGGAGGCAGATGAGAAGTATATGCGTATTAAATATTCTAAGTAACAAAAAGGGTTCAATCTTATCGGGCTATAAGAGAAGAAGAAACAACTCTAAGTTCTGTGGTGGTCATGGTTACCAACAAGCAAACCGGGGTGGTTGAGGCTGTGGAGGAAGATGATCAGGGGTGGATCATGACAAAAATTCAGGGGTTGTACAAAAAAATTCTTATAAATTTTTTTAGGAGTTGCACAATATTAAAGGTGACACTTGTATTAATTAAAAAAAATTAACACTAAGTAGATAATTTTATTGTATAAATTTTTTTTATAAGAATTTATCTAAAATATAGAGATTCTATCTAAAAATCATAAAAAATATATATAAAAATATTAAAATAATATCATTTGATCAATGTTCCTAATAATTTGAGAGATTATATGGACTATCCCTGGTAACCCCTAGGTCCGCCCCTGAAGATGATGGAGCTGCTAACGGTGGCTCTGTTACGGTTACTATTACTGCCCCGTCAAAACCCAAGAAAGGATAAGTGGTATTGCCTTTTAAGAGAGACAAAACGAGATCCAGGAGATTCTTGGAAATTTAAAAATCAAGGGAAAACAAAAAGGAATGTGATATGAAGATAAAGGAAAAAGGGGTTATGATTTCAATATGAAAAATCACGTGGGTTTTGGTGAAAAGTTAATAAAGGATGAAGGCTAAATCATAATATGGGTCATCCAATTTTGGTGAGAATTCAACCTTGTCTTCTAGTTCTATATAGTTATTAATGTTGTCTAATGGTTTGAATAAGATTTATTTTGGTCACTTACCTTGGTAGCTAAGTATTAAATTGGCCTTTGAGTTTTTAATTTTGTCATTTATGTCCCTCTATTATAGAAATGATTTATAATAAGTTATTTTTATGGTGACAGAAATTTATTTGGATTCAAATTCAAATTTTAGATGGTGTGGGATCGTGAGAGAAAGAATTGGAAGCTCGAAAGTCAAAATTTTCGAAAAATCATATTTTATGTTTTTTGACGTACTGAATCCGAATCCGAAGTCTGTTTCGTCAAATTCAAACTCGGTAAGCTGTTTTTCACTTATTTATCACCCGATTCGATTCGTTTTTCAGAATTAAGTCTCGTTTTTTTTTATGAAATTTCTATTATTATGTATTTGAGGAATTATTGGAAGTTGAATCAAAGATCGAGGGTATTCGAATAGAATTTATATGGTCGATCAGTATGGCACGGAAATTGAGGTAATACATTACTACCTTTTCATGCTTTATGGAACATGTTGGTATTGGTAAATGCATGAATGGAAATGTTTGGTCTCATATGTATAATTAATGAAGTTCAACACACGATTCAAATACAGTAAAAATTCGGTAAATGAATATGGCCCAGATGACTGATATAAGAAATGGATGGATTGTTAGAATTAAACTATGAGTTCTGTGATTAGTGATAAAGGTGTTACCATGGATTTATAGCATATAAATTATTTCATCAAAGGTACTTGGATGAGAAATTATGAGAATATTCCGGTAGGGTAAAATTACGAAAATACCCTTATGTTGTAAGATGACAAGAATTATCCCTGGAAGTTGACTAATAACTTTGAAATGATATATTGATCTGAGAAAACTATAGATGTGCATAAGAAATGCTAGTTTTCTTAGAAAATTTGGATAACGGGTTTTAATCCAATAGGTTTTATGTAAGATACTAAAAGTATGTTAAGGAATCATTTCGAGATCAAAGAATGTTCGGGAAAGTAATTAACCATTTGATCTCTAAAGTATAATTATTTTTGTTAAGAGTTAATACCGAAATTATCTGGTTAAAAAATTACGAAAATACCCTTGAGAGGTAAAAATAGTCCGAGTTGACTCTGAATGAGGTAGTAACATGAGAATTTGTTTTAAACCGATAAATTATTGATTTGATTGTTGAGATCCTATTTTTGAATGGAAAATTCTGATAATCCGTTAGTAATATCTGAGAAGGCATTTAACCTGGAAATCTCCGACTTGAGTAAGTACATGAAGAATAATAATTTATCGATGGTGATATTTTGTCGGAATAATTCGAAGGGATTGACATAAATGATAAGTTGGAATTAAATAATAAGACCGGACGGAAGGAAATGATTGTAATATTCTAGATCTGTGAGATAACCATAATACCCCTGTAATGGAAATGATTAAAGAATATCACCAAGCTAGGACTGAATAGATATCCTCAAGCTTTAAAATGAATGGAAGATCATTGAGCATAAAAAAAGACCAAAATACCCTTATGTCCTAGACTAAGTAAATGTCTTGGATTATTTAAGAAATTCAAATAAACATGGATGTTGTACTGCTCTTAAAGATTATGGAACATAATTTAAGCCGGCCAAACAATGCTAGTGCTATATTAGTACTTGAATGGCATAGGTACCACTTGAATGCTAGTTCGTTTCCCCAAGTTTGGATTTATGAAAATTATGGAAGTACTCAGTTCAGCTTAACGTTAGAGCGCATTCGATATTAAGAAGTGGCTATTCGTGAGATAAATCAATCATGAATAGCAAAACGATTTTAGTATATGGCTAAATTGAACTGAAAGGAAGTACAACATGTATTTGAAATTCAGAAACGTCTGAATTATTCTGGAAAACTCTAAAGAAACGGGGATAGACTTGCTTACTAAACGAACTAAGTAACCTCAATGACTGAGGATTAAATAGTTGATTGGATGAGTTTGGAAACACTGTTGAACTTACATGATGAATTGTCCTTATGGGTTGTACCATGAATCAAGTACGTCCGTATTTCCTGATATCGTTGAAACGTGGAAATGAAATAAAGACCGTTGGAAGATCTATTAAGCGATGATTATGGGGATGATCTATGGATATGCATTATGGTATTAAAGAGTGAATACACTGGAAGGATAATGAATTGACTTGTTGACATGCATCAGTTTGAGAGTTGTGTAACTCGAGTTGTTTGATAATACGATCGATAGTCATAGATTGTAATTGACTTGAATCTTCGATTCTATATTTTCATCTAAAATCACTTCGGTCATGTTTGAAAACGCAAGTAACGCAGAATGAAAAGATTTTGAATACCTCGTTTGGTTCAATTGGGCTAAAATCCTATGAATTCAAAGTATATTCCTGAATACCCCTGATTGTTTGGGTAATGGAATCACTTGCAGTAAATCTGAATTTAGAATTATTATGTATAAAGGTTCCTGATCGTTTTCCTGATGCACATGAAAACTTAGTGGAATTCTAAAGTATCAATCTGAAATGTCTGATTAGATCGGTTATAAATCGATTCTCTTCAATAAGATCTTATTCCTGAAATCTAATCAAATTGCACAAGTTCATGTTATCCTTATTGATAACTTCAAAATGCATCTGAAAAATATTTGGATCCTCTAGTGTGTTCCATATATTTTGAAAAATTATTTTATTGTTTTAACATGTGGTACACTGAAATATATGGTTACTGTTTTATGGATGCACCGACTTAACGGTGATGGCTTATGGATTTGAATCATTGTATAAACTGTATCTTGGAGATACAGATTTGTAAAGTACAACTCTGATCAAGGTGGAAAATTTTTATGGACCTAATGTGACTCTTAGGTAGGCTCTGCGGCCCTAAGATCATTCTCGGGTAGGCCCTACGGCCCTAAGATGTGTTCTTAGGTAGGCCCCGTAGCCCCGAACTTTCTTGGGTAGGCTCTCAGGCCCTAAGATATTCCCTTAGGTTAACTCTTTGTAAGATGTTTTTAAAATACGAGTTTAAAAAGCTCCACTACAATATGGTTTATGAGATTTTACTGAACTATCATATGATTAGTGTACCTATTATGATTTTATCGTACTGATGGAACACACTAGACATCCTTTTCGACCTCATGAAAATGTGATAGTATGAAAGGTTTCTTATGAATTGAGATTCATGGCTTCTACTTGATGAACTACTAATGGAACTCCAGATTATTCCGCAATTGGTATACATTTGATTCAATAAGGAAATTATGGTTTCCCATTTATCTGCATGTCATGTAGCATCATCTGGTAGTTTTGTATTACTGAGCTTTCCAAAGATCACTCTATTACTCACCATTGCATGTTAAAAGAATTGTACCAGTGCATCTATCGAATTCAGTAAGAGAGATATTCTGGCGTTGTTGCAGAGTATGGTACATGTGATTATGGGGCATGTAATTGTATTTTGTTTTATATACGAGTCTAAAAATTTGTTTTATTTCGAATACTGATAAATTTTATTTTGTACTCATAAATGATTTTATGAGTTTACATGTTTTAAGAAAAGTTTTAAATTTTCCGCTATTTTTTTCGGTGGGTCGCTCCGGTGGCCCTAATGTGACACTCCAGATCGGATCGGGCTATCCGCATCGGTCTGAGGGGGTTACATTTCCAGCAACCTAGAATCACCAGGTAATTCACTTGTAACTCAACTATACCATGTGTAGGTCATTTAGATGAAATTGGTAGGTTGCATGAGCTTGAAGCAATTTGGGTGTTTCAGCATGTTTTCAGACTTATTTATTACCCCTAATATCAAATAAATATCTAAACATCAGTTGGGGACCTCACTAGGGGTTTTGGTAGAAATATAGGATTTTTCATGCCAAAATAGGGCACCCCGTAACAGTACAATATCAATATTGTTCTTCAACCAAGTATAAAACAAGTAAACTTTAAAGGGTAGTATCGATACTCATCCTTAGAGTATCGATATTGATGCCCCGGTCTCGATATCGGATGGCTTGGTATCGAGATCAATAGAGCAGTAAACAATTTGGGTATCGATACTCACATAGAGTATCGATACCAGGGCAGGGGTATCGATACTCCAGTAAGGGTATCGATACTGGGGGTATTTTCAAAACATCGAATCCAATTTTAGTAACGATACTCAGTCTAGTATCGATACCCTAGCACCAGAGTATCGATACTCAGCCTAGAGTATTGATACTTCCTCAATCAGACAACCTTATTCAGTCAGGGGATATCGATACCAACAGGTGGGTATCGATACCAAGTGTCTAATATCGATACTGAAGGTTAGTATCAGTACCAACGAGTAGATTTTGTTAAATAAGCTAGGGATAAGGGATCAGACTCGAGGTACTCCAAATACACTTGAATAACAACAAATAAAACTTCAAGCGATAATAGTAATTAATATCAGTACAATAGAAAAGTAACAGTTAGGTCTATATAAAACTAGTCTTGTTTGACGCTGGGGAAACAGTCAGGACACCCGAGTTACTCTTAGCAGAAACACGATAGTCAATGGATCCAAGTCAGTGCCACAGCACTTCAGCAGTCGACTAGTCGCCAGATGCCCCAAGACTCGACGGAGTGGTTGGCGGGTGTAAGTTTCCGATGATAGAATTTCGGATTCCCACTCGATAGGCTAGAGGGGTGTGAGTTCTGAGATGACAAGATCCCTCCACTGCGCCGCACCATGATGCCTACCCTAGTTTAGCATATTAGGTTTTTAATATATTATGTCTTCACATGTTTCAGACCTGTGTCGTTAGTCAGCTCTTTAAATGAATGCATATAGTATAATATAGTTATTAGTGAGGCACTGAGCTTGTAAGCTCGGTGTTCGAAATGTGTTTCTGTGCACAAATTCATAGGGGCAGATCGTGGGGAGTTATCGTTAGCAGATACTCCAGTGCAGCAGTGCAGACCATTAAAGTACTTCTTGAGTCATCTTTAGAGGGCATAAACTATTATGAACCCTTTATGTATTCAGTCGTAACTCTATTTGATACTCAATATTTGTATTACTTTTGGATGAATTTTGAGAGTTCTCCATATTTTTTAAACTCATATTATTACATTTTATTTTCATCACTATGGACAGATCATTTTCAGTGATTATAAACAATTTTAAAATAAAAATTTTGGGTCACTATTTCAGTAGTCCCATGTAATATTGTAATCCATGGATCTTCGTGTCAAACTGGATTAGTGTGTTACATAATTATTATAATATCAAGAAAATGTGTTCACTTCTTTTAATTAATGAGCCCCTAAATTGTATAATATTATATTTGACAACAAAAAAATATATAACAAATTATTATTTCTTATAATTAAAAGAGGATATAACTACTTGCAATTATTGCACGAATCAACTCACCTCAGTGGTTAAAGGAATTGTTGTTATTCTCAGAGGTTATGAGTTCGAACACCAACGATTGTGACAGGGTGATTGAGTGATAATTATCAAATGATTGAGAGTATTTAGAACATATACTATTTTGCAATAACCTTACTTAATAATAATAATAATAATAATAATAATAATAATAATAATAATACTAATAATAACTTACAATTATTATTATTATTATCTATGGTGTGTCCAATCACACCCTTAATTATAAACTCATCGTTATCAAAAGAGTGATAAAAAGAAAACGTTAGACTTAATCTATATAATAAAATCATATTATGAACTACTCTCAAAAAGATTAATTCAAATTAGATCTCAAAAAGATTAATTATGAGAGTAATACTCTCAATTCAATTATACTCTCAATTCAATTTTATCCATTTACAATGTCGGGATTTGAACTACTTATCTTTGTTTGATTGAGGGTGACCAATTGGTAATTTGTAAAAATCATTGATCTAAAATAAAATTTGCAGTCGCAAATGAAGCTAAAATCTGAATCAAAATTGTACACCCACTAAATCAATTTTGTATATCACTCTCCCTTCACTACATTTCTAGAGTTCAGATATTAAATTCCAGCATTGCACCACAACCACAAGTACACTCCCTGGAGCTAAATCCAGTAATTTACAGAATATAGCAAAAGGGAACACAAATCTAATATAACCCAAGGTTGTGTTCATCCACAATAAATTTGTTTTCATTACCTGATATTACCAATTCAATCAAACATACTGGGAAGGGGTCTCACAGCCATAAATGCATCAACCATCTGGGAAGAAAGATAACAAAAGAGTTCCCCATCAGTTCTTGATCTTCAATTTGATGATTGAATTTACTTTTCGGATGAGAAGTTCCATGATATATATCAATGGAGTTACTAGAGAGCCTTACCTCATCTGTTACTGCTGCCCGAGCCCTTCGATGTCTTTCTACTAGTTGAGTCAAAACTTCAGTGAGTCGCTTTTTCACCTCGCCTGTAAGCATGCGCCCCGCACCATACTCCTAGCAAATGATGAGGAGTATGAAATACCAAGAAATGAGAAGAACCCGACAGTTACAGGCAAAGCATCGAAACTAACGAAGGCAGCAAGTTTACCTTCTTTATGTGCTCAAGTTCAGCATCGTCCTCAAGGAAAAAATTAAGATACTTGATTGGTATATCTACCTGAAAAACAAATCCAGTTTTTTAGTAGCATACTAACGATAAAACAAAGAGAAAAAAGGAACATTAAAATGATGGAACCAAAATGCTAATATCAATAGTTTCAGCAAAATTAAAAGACTAGTGTGTTTATGTGGATGCATGTGCATTTGGACCTGTGTGAATGTCTGCATTTTCACGCGGCTAATATGCATCTAAATGAGGTCTGAATGTCCGATCACCATCCTTGAATGGTGATAACATTACCGTTGAAAGTAATGAAATTCTCTGTAAAACTCGTATATTTCTGCTGTAGGTAGCGTTACATATTTATATACAAGTAGAAGCCTTAACTTAGGAAACTCTTAAGCTAGGAAAGTAACTAATTCTAAGGAATATGCAATCCCTTAAAGTAAGGGATTATAACTACTAAAAATATTCATAGAATCCCACCTTAATTGCTCATAATATTCCTAATTTAGGAATCTAATTTCTGACACTCCCCTTCAAACTGGAGAATGGATGTCTTCCATCTTCAGCTTGCCTGCTAACTTCTGAAAAAGCTTCCCAGATAGTCCCTTGGTAAGTATATATGTAACTTGATCTCCAGTGGACACATAGGGAGTACAAACTAGCCCATTGTCGAGTTTCTCTTTTATGAAATGTCTATCCATTTCAACATGTTTTGTTCTGTCATGTTGAATTGGGTTATGAGAAATATTAATTGTTGATTTATTATCACAATACAACTTCATTGGGCCTTCCCACTCGATCTTTAAATCCTCCAAAATAATCTTTAGCCACAACAATTCGCAGATTCCAAGTGTCATTGCTCTAAACTCAGCTTTTGCACTGGACCTAGCTATAGCATTCTGTTTCTTGATTTTCCATGTCTCTAGATTTTTCCCCAAAAAGTATAGTACCCTGAGGTTTATCTTCTATCAACCATGGATCCTACATAGTCAGCATCAATATAGGCTTCCAATGTCAAATTTCCTCCTTTTTTAAACAAAATTCCCTTGCCATGTGTACCCTTAAAATACTGCAGAATTTGAGTCACAACCCTTAAGTGTGATTCTTTAGGGTTGTGCATAAATTGGCTCACAACTCCAACAACATAGGCAATGTCTGGTCTGGTATGTGATAGATAAATTAGTCTCCCCACAAGCCTCTAGTATGAGCTTCTGTCACCTGTTGCATCCTCCATTGTATCTCCAAGCTTGTGGTTCACTTCTATTGGCGTTTCTGCTAGTTTGTACCCTAGTTTTCCAGTATCTTCTAACAAGTCTTTAGTGTATTTCTGTTGAGATATGAAGATCCCTTTCTGTGAATGTGCCACTTCAATACCTAGGAAGTATTTTAGCCTTCCAAGATCTTTGACTTCAAACTTCTTCACCAAACACTTCTTTAGATCATCAATTCCTTTCAAATCATCCCCTGTAACTATAATATCATCTACATACACTAATAAAGCAGTAACTCCCCCTGTAACAGAATGTTTCACGAATAAAGTGTGATCACCTTGACTTTGTTTGTAGCCTAGCTTCAGCATCACTTTAGTAAACCTTCCAAACCAGGCTCTTGGAGACTGCTTCAATCCATATAAAGCCTTCTTTCATTACCAAGGTCTTTGGTTATTTTTTGATAAATATAGTGAGGTGGTTGATTCTTTCATCCCTAATAAAAGAAGCAAGGGAGGAAGTAGGTTTGGATTTGTTCGTTTCACCAGACTGGAGGACGCGAGGAAGGCTATCAACTGTGTTGATAGTTCTTGGATTCAAGGTAACAAAGTTAGAGTTTTCATGGCGAGATATCATCCTCGTGATGTTTTCTGGAGGAAGAAGTTCTCTGGTCCATATCCAGTTGAGGGCAAGAGTGTGGTGAAGGAGGTTTGTCATACGGAGGCTCCCTTTGTTGGTTCTGTTGACGAAAGTAAGCTTTCAACTCTCAAAAATAGCTTGGTAGAATGGTGCAGAATTTTTATTAAGTGGGTAGAGTCGTCTTCGTTGGAAGAGGCAGTCGTATCCCCCGTTATCCAAGGTGGGGGAGCTCGTTGGTGTCTCTCCAGTTAAGTTCCCCGAGTTGGAGGTGTGTGCTGAAGAAGCTGGTAGAAACGTTAACTCATCGGAGGTGCAGTGTCCCGGGAGGTGTTCTGAGGAAGAAGAAAATGCTTTCTGTTGTATGGGGAATGGGTCTAGAGGTTGCTTCTTGTCGGGTGAGGGCGAGGACGACAGGAACATAGGCGAGGAAATGATGATGGGTCTGAGGAGCGCTGTTGTGGGTCAGGGGACGGTTCATTCGCAAATTGAGGAGGTGGGGGAACACGAGAAAGAGCTGGTGCACGATGGAGAGAGAAGCAGTGGATGTCTATAAGGATAGGTGTTTGTCTGCACGTGGCTATGAGGGTTCGAAGGATTATTTTTCAGATTTCCCCATGTTGGATGGTCGAGTTGAGTCAAAGGTGGTGGCGGATTTGCTTAAAGAGGGCCTTAAAAATAATAGTGCATTCAATAGATTAAATGGTGAGGCCATGCTGAACCGGGGAACAAAGGAGGTGGAACACGAGATAGTGCTGGTTTTTTAGGGGAGTGAGGCAGAAAATGCCAGCAATAATTATTGTATGACAGCACGTGCTAAGGAGGGAATGAAGGATTTTTTAATTGATTTGCCCATCAAAGGTGCACGATCTTTGAGGGAATGATTCATTCTCGCACATTTCCAGGCAGAAACACAGAGTTAAGGAGGGGAATTATAATAATTTTGCCTCTCTCCATTCTTTTCATGACAAAAATTCGGCTCCTCAAAGGAAGAATTATCACTGCCGAAGCAAGTTTAAACAGAATAAGGTGCAACGCAAGGATCCTGCAGGCAGATTCCTTTATGATTTGGAATTTCCAGCATTGGGGCAAAAGCTAAAGAAGGTAGAGACAGACTCCTTAATGTTAGGGAAAGATCTGGATTTTGAGTCTGGAGGCTCAGTAGTGGTTCTGTTTCTGGATGATTACGGCAGTGGTAGTTTTGGCAGATGAATTACATATGATCTTTGTTTTTGGAGTTGGAAGTTTGGTTGCTCTCCATCGACAAGATGAGCAATATGTGGCAGTTAGGAGGAGATTCAATGCTTGCTCCTCTGCATCCGTTTTATGTGGAAACTCTTGGCCTTTGTGGTTGATCTTGGTGTATATGGATTGAGTCGTTTGTTTTATTTGGCTTATATTATAGTTGTTTGGTGTTGTGGTGTCTTTCGGGACAAGCTTAGGTTTTAAGTGTGGTCAGTCCTATTTGAGGCTGTTGTTCTAGCTAAGGTGGATTAGGTAGAGTTTTTGCTGTTTTTTAGGTTTATTTTTGAATGTTTCTGGTGTTCTGTTTATGTTGGGGTGGATTTCTGGTTGTATCTGGTAATTTCTTATGTTCAATGAAGTCCTAAGGCACTCTTTTCCTCCTTCCGATGATTAAGGAGTTTGTTTAAAACTCTTTTAATCAAGAAGGGGGTTTTTAACGAGGCCTTCAATTCTTATCAAAAAGAAAATATAAAGCCTTCTTTAATCTACACACTTTCTGCCTAGCACTTGAACTAAATCCATGTGGGATGTCTATATAAACTTCTTCCTCGAGATCTCCATGTAAAAAGGCATTTTTATTGTCATATTGCTGTAATTTCCATCCTTGATTGGCAGCTAATGACAGTAAAATTCTCACAGTATTCATCTTTGCAACAGGGGCAAACGTTTCAAGGTAATCTATTCTCTAGGTTTGAGAATACCCCTTAACCACTAACTTTGCCTTGTACCTCTCTAATGATCTATATGACTTGTATCTTACCGTAAACACCCACCTGCGCCCTATTGTTTTCTTCCCTTTTAACAGTTTCACCAAGTTTCATGTCTTGTTATTCTCTAGTGCTTCCATCTCAACATGCATGGCATTCTTCCAATTCTCATTTTCCAATGCATCAGACACGGTTTTGGGATGGTGATGGTGTTTAGGCTCGTAAGGAAGGCTTTGTGATTGTGAGACAAATTTTTACAAGAGAAAAATAGATAATGAGGGTTTTTTTATGGTACAAGTCCTTTTTCCTTTTCTAATTGCAATAGAAAAATCAAAATCCCTGCGATCAGAGGTAGAATCGTATTTTTCAGTGTTATTTGGATCAAAGATAGGTTCAGTAGTTACCTTAGTTTGTATAGGAGAGGAAGAGGATGATTGAGCCTGCACAGATGTTTTTCTCCTTGAGTAGACCAGCAGAGGACGAGTAATGTCCTGAATTTTTGGCCGAGTATTAGGATCAGGTTGGTCAACAATAAGAGGTTGTTGGATTGGCTGTTGGGAAGAAACAAGTTGTTGAGGCTGAGTTTGAGCTGGTGCAGGAAAGTCAATGAGAGGATGAAGGAGGAAACAATATTTGTCCTTATTTTCCTTGAATGAAATCTCCCCTTGAAAATAGGGACGAGTAAAATAATTTTCCTTTTCTGCAAAAGTGAAATCAGCTGAATTAAAGTGTTTCCTTATAGGTGGATGATAACACTTGTACCCCTGTTGAGTGGAAGAGTAGCCAATAAAAATACACCTTAGCCCTTGGTCATGTGGTTTGTAGCCCCTGTGTCAATTACCCAAGAGCTTTGGGTGGGTAAATCCAAGGCCTTAGAGTCCAGAGAAGAGGACATACCTAAGAAGACCAGACTACATATACCTGCAGAGGGGGTTTTGTCCAGAGACCCCAGCAAATCTCTCAGTTTCTCTATCTCTTTTTTGTTGAACTCACAGGTTGTTCTTGAGAGTCCTCAACCAACTGTTTGGTTGTATACGCTCTTCCTTGACCCCTTGATGATCCCTCCTTCTCTGGAAACTTCTTACTTTTTGTCTGTGGCTTTCCATGAAGTTTCCAGCACTTCTCCTTTGTGTGGCGAGGTTTCTTGCAGTAGGTGCACCATAGAGAGTCTCTGTTTACTGTTTTTGTTGTCTTTTTTGTACTTCGCTGTTCCAGACCCGTTTTTCTCTCGGTTACAACTTTAGTGATCAAGGCTAAACTTTCCTCTTGATTGCTTTCAATCATAACTTCTCTCCTTTCTTAACACGAATGATTGCAATAGCTTCATTCAGTGATGACGGGTCTTCTTTTCCAAGAATCTAGACCCTTACTACATCAAACTCAAAGTTTAGTCTAGCAAGAAAATCATAAATTATGTATTTTTCAACAAACCTCTTTAGGGCAACTGCATCTTCGTTATATCTCATTTGGATACACTGGTAGTGGTCCATTTCTTGCCAAAGATTCTGTAGTAGGTTAGAGTATTTTGTGATTGACTTCTTCCCTATTTGGTGGATGAAATCTTGGTCTTGATTTCAAAAATCTGGGCAACATCTCTAACCTTTGAGTAAGTTTGTTTTACAGTCACCCATATCTCTTTGGATGTATTAAGGAACATGCATGTATCGCTAATCTCTGGCACCATGAAATTCCACAACCAGGACATTACTAATGAATCATGTTCATCCCAAGAATCAAACCTAGGATCTCCCTCCCTAGGTCCAGTTCCAAGAAGATAACTTAACTTGCCTCTACCCTTTAGGAACGTGCGAACAAGCTGAGACCATTTGAGGTAAAAAAAAATTCCATTCAACCTATACGCAACATGTATATTTTGCAAGTCACCTACGGAATTTGAATAACTCCCTTCACTCACATTGACTCCTTGGACTGTCTCAGTGTTGCTGGTATCGACCACTTCAACCATCTTTTTTTGTTGGAATAACAGTAAGCACTCAAGGGAAGGATCAAATAAAGAGAAAGGGTTGCTAAACCGAAATTAACAGGACCCAAGAATGAGCTAAAATAGGTTTGATACCAAGTTGAAAGTAATGAAATTCTCTGTAAAACTCATATATTTTTGCTGTAGGTAGTGTTACATATTTATATACAAGTAGCAACCTTAACTTAGGAAACTCTTAAGCGAGGAAAGTAACTAACTCTAAGGAATATACAATCCCTTAAAGGGATTATAACTACTAAAAATATTCACAGAATCCTATCTTAATTACTCATAATATTCCTATTTTAGGAATCTATTTTCTGACAATTACAAGGAGTAACCTCACTCGTAGTGGTAACATGTGATGTGATAGTTAAAAAACTGAAGCACAAAATGGCAAGAAAATTCAACTGATATGTCACAAGGGAACAACAAATTCATTACCTCAAGATTTGCCCCATATTGTCTGTGTTTTTCAATGGATTCTTGGCCACCAGTGAAAGCATGCTTGTTTACCTAAAGACGAATGCAAATCACATTATGTCGAGAAATCAATTGAAGCAAGTAACTTATTTGATCTTTCAACTTGCTGTAAGCTTTCCTTCTAATGATCAGTTATAAAATATGTGAAACAAGTCACACTATATGGGAGTGCAGAATTTGCAATAATGCAGCTAAACTAAAGCAAGAAACAAGCACAAGAAAAGCAAATCTAATATAAAGAATCACTATATCCAGTTCCAACATATTAATCTGAAGTACACAAAACCCGACAGCAACTGGATTGACAGTCCTGTAACAAGTGCTTGAGAATAAGTGAACAGAAATAATAAAATAATTAAAAGTTCATGCGTTGGTAAAATATTGCTACAACTTCTTTAATGAACCACCACGAGGGCGTTAAAAGTCTTGTGATATATCCATGAGGCTCATGATGCATCTATTTTAGTTCAATGAAAATTAGGTAAACTTCCCATCACAAAATATTTGAAAGGTCTACCAGTTGCACTAACAAGATGGATAAGGCCAAACATGTAGCATTTTCTGTCAACATAATTAGAAATTAGAAAATTAGAATGATGAAAAAATTTCATGAACCTACCTTGTGTTTGATATCCTTCACAGAATCAGTCACGTAAATAGCAGAATTTGGATCACTAGCTGACATCTTCCCTGTTTCTCCCTGAGATTACATGTGCAAAAAATGTTGAAGCTATTATTTAAACTAGAGAATGATTACAAATTATACGATTCTATAAAGGCAAATATTGCACATTTTGGAATGAACATGACATCAAATTCAAAATTGATGTGTAAACTCATATATGGTTATCCAATTTAAAGCACATTTGAAGTCAACCAAATGGCGAACAAAAATACTAGATGGTAGAGCACTGACATATATTCTGTGATGATCCTCCTAGCGACAAAAGTCTCTACCATATGCATACAGAACTTGAAACATAAATTTTTTTAAAGCAAATACAGAATCATAATATAGAGTATATGCACTTTGTAAGCTTCCAGCCTCAAATGAAATGTCTAAATAGTCAAATGAAGCAGCTCAGAGTTAACACGTCAAGATTGCTTTATGAGTAAAATGAAACCATAGTAAGTATTTATTTTCTTAAAAGTTACAATAACTTAACAAACCATTAAACTTGTGTGAACTATCAAAGACAAAGAAGATAAAGCAAATCAAACCAAATAGTTGGGCACAACATCAAACTTTGGCCCACATATATGCAACGTTGTTTATTTGCAAAGCTATGGGCTATAATATAATGTGCAAACATTATGTAACAGGAAATAACCTGATTGTCAATAACAGATCTTTACCAACAAACACAAACTTACGACAATTAACAAATTCTGTACAGTATTATCCTGATAATGTTTCTATGCCTACAAAAATACCTGGAGAGCAGGGAAGAACAGTGATTCAATCAATGCAGGCTTATGATACCCAATCCGAGGAGCAACATCTCGTGTCATTCTGAAATATGGATCCTGAGCAACAGCAACAAATTTTAGAAAAAATGAAAAATATACCTGCAGACAAACAGAGCTAGAGAGAAAAATCCCAAGGGAAAGGATTGGTGAGGTAATTATTTAAAATAACCAAGGTAATCATTAGTTTTTACCAATAGTAAACAAAAAATTAATAAAATAAATTGACAAATTTCAGAATCACTTTGACTTAAGGCTTCCTTTAAGTTGTAAAGCAACAAGGCCAAAAGACCCAACATCCAAACTAGCACCAATTATAACCGTTTCAGAAATGAAAGGAACAATGAAAAACCATTGTAGCATATTTTTAAAGTTAGCAATGAGCAATAATGTGTGTGGAGTAATACATAAAACTAAGGATTAACATTCGGAAACCACAGTTATCACTTACAAAACCATATACTCCTTAATTATAATTAAGAGTTAATATGCTATCATTATATGATAAAACTAAGAAGAGTCTAACAAACACTGAACCTGGTCAATTGCACATGGAATTAGACAACGTAGATTATCCTTGCCAGAGAATAGATGTGGGAATGATGAAGGAAATGATGGAACAGCCTGCACCAACAGAATATAAGCACACTCATCAACACAAGCATATATTTGGCACAAGAAAAGGCTAAAAGAGACCAAATCAGTTACTAGATTTCCTCGTACGTGGCCAGTAGCCAAAATTTAAAGAATATATAATCATGAACAACACCTAAGTTCACATCGACGCATAAACAGTATAAAAGCATAGAAATTTTAGATAACATCACTTCAACTGTAGTCATCACAAAACCGGTAAATGCTAGGGAAAAGAAGCATACCTGCACAGGTGGAAAGCTAACTTTTCCAATATGATCCTCACCTGTGAATCCAAATATGCCAACAACCTAAATATCACCAGATAGGAATATAGTTATTCAAACAATAAGGTCAAAGGCTCTTCCACTCACAAAGCAAAGAATACAAATAGCACCTTGTTGTAAGTAACACACTTGGCAACCTTGACCATATTTTTATAGAAGGCACTGCAAATCAAAACATCAACAAAATTATAATTAGAATCCAAAGATTAGTCCCAGCAAATGTTAAAAAGAAGCTTAAAAAATCCTCTGGTGTTTCCTTACCCTCCGACATAATCGAAGTCTGAGAATATGAAGGTCTTTGATATGTCAAAACCACAAGCAATGATATCTTTAGCGTTCTCACGGGCGAGTCTTTGGCTCTCCTCCACAGAAAGATTTTTCCACATGCATTTTTCATCATCAGTTAGTTGTATAACAAGAGGGACTTTGAAGGCATCTTGAAGGTATCTGCAAGAAACATCAAACATTGTCCAAAATGTATAGAATTAAGTGTATGACCAAAACTCAAACATACAACAACATTTCTTTTCCTTCCAATTATCTCTTAAGACCACAAAAGCAATTAAACCTGATGCATTTAAGAGTAATTACTAGAACCTGTGAGCAAGCTTCCAATAACATTTTCTCTATTTAAGAAATGGCAGAGGAAATAACAACAGAAATTAATCTACAAGGACTAAACTCATAGAAATTTAGTAACTATTGTAGAGCTATAAATTCAAAAACTATTTCTATGTATAGATAATGTGAATCACTGTTCTTTTGCAATATCAATTCATAAATTATACTAAATTGCACAAATTTCAGTCCTTTTGTTCATTTATGCCAACTAATTAACAAAGAAAAAGGAAAAAGAAGTTACTTTGTGAACATAAAAGGAATCAAATGGCCCAAATGCAAAGCTTCAGAAGAAGGTCCACGGCCGGTATACAGATAAAACTTCTCCCCTCGCTCATAGGCATCCAAAATGTCGTTGAAATCTCGATGCGCAAAGAATACTCCACGGCGGAGGAAGACGTGAGGAGGACGAGAAGTGAGGCGTTGAACGCGGTCGACAAAGGATTGATCCAGCCTTTGGCAACCGAATTTGTCGATGAGCTTATCGTAATCAATCTTACCGCCTTCTTTGGCCGACACTTCCCAAGGATTCACCACTTGTTCCTCTTCTTGCTGCTGGTTCTTATCCTCTATCTTCTCCATTGTGGCTTCGTTATCGTCACTTAGAAGTGGAATGAATTTATGCTTTTGCTATATACTAGGTTACGGCGACGTCTATATGAAACTGTCCTTTGTCCGATAGACGGCGTATCGGATCTGAAACTAAGTTTTCAAACTTCGAGTTTCATCCGATCCGGTTTGCTACGGTTTTAATTTGTTTTTAATGTTAGGGTAAAATATAGAAATGGTCCCCTGACTATAAGGAAGTGTTTTTTGAGTACCCTAACTATTAAAACTTATAAAATGACCTCTCAATTATAGGGTGTTGTTTGGTTTAGTCCATCTATTATTAAAAATTATAAAATGGTCACTCGGCTATTCATATGTTCCAAACTCATCCTTTTCTGTTAAAAAATTGAGCTGGAAGTTAACATATTAATTGTAATATGATAAAATCATATTTTAATGATGTGTAATGGTATCGTCGTTGCTTTCAAGCACGGACTCAGTGACACAATGTTTCAAGCACTGGCTCGACGACATAATGTAAATAGAGAGTTGATTCACATAAGACAACTCAAATGATTATGAGGTTAGATTTTATAATATCCTAGTCAACAGGTTAACGTCCAGCTTAGACAGTAACCAATTTTTTAATGAAAAAGGACGGGTTTGAAACATATGAATAATCGAGTGACTATTTTGTAACTTTTAATAGTCGGAGAACTTAACAAAGTAATATTCTATACTAAGGGGAATATTTTATAACTTTTAATAGTTGAAAGACTCAACAAAATATTGTCCTATAATTAGAGGATCATTTGTTTACTTTACCCTTAATTTTAAATGTTTTATTAATTTTAATTAAAATATATTTAGTACTGAAATATATATTTTTAAAAGTCTCACGAGTAAGGTTGGCGGAAATTTTTCCACCTTCAATTTGTTTGATTATAAAAAAAAGTTTGGAGGGAATATTATACCAATAATACTCTTTTCTTTCTTATTTATTCAAATGATAGTCAAATAACATTTTAAAAAATCGATGTCAAATCGCCTTCGATCGGTCAATAATGTATGTTTAAAAGATTATATTTATACACTTTAAAAATTCATACAGATACTGTGAGATTTGAGAATCTCGTGATCGAATTTATTTGATTTTGAACTGTTAAAGATATATCTTGAAATTCGAGCCATGTCAGTATGAAAATCAAAGATAATTATTTTTTATTAGTTTAGAGTGATTATAATGCAGTAAATGTCCAGAACGTAATTATCGAACACAGAACTTCTAGAAATAACAACATTTTCTTTCTCCAGTAAGACCACTTCTTAAGTTTAAGACAATTGTTATCGTTTTAAATTTTTGTTATAATAGATTTAATTTTTAATAAATATGATTTAAATATATAAAAAATATTTTTTAGTTAGAATCATGGATATAGTTCATCATAATCATCAAAGATACGTAAGACAATTATATTGAAAAATAAAAATAAAAAGCATCAGAAAAAGCTTTAGATCAATATAATTAATCTATTGTAAAAAAGGATCAGTATATAAATATACATTAAATATTATTAGTGTTTTTTAATTAATCACTGATATCCAATCTATTGGCCAACTAATATAGATCGGGTATTGCAGAGGCGAGAGCGACCCTCCCAACCCAATTTGCTTCATTCGCAAACGCCAGGATTCGAATATCTGACCTTACTTAAGGGACAGTGATTCATCCCGCTAAACTAACTGATTGTTGGTAAATATTATTAGTGTTTAGCCATTTATCCATAAAACTAAGAGTCTAAATATTTTAGAACAAGTCCTACAATTTTTTTTAACAAAATATGTTATTTTTTTAATTGAAGCGAGTAATTAAACAATTAATTAATTAGGCACAATATTGTCCAATACACGCTCTTCCCATACCATTTGAAGCTTCCTCTAAAATTGCAATGACGACATAAAAGGATGGCCTTTTTGAAGGATCATTACCAGTGCATTCTCGTATAAGCCTACAAATTACAAACTCCAACATGATTAAGGAAATGAAATAAACAACAGGAACTAAAGTAAAACTAAGGCATAGTTGACAATTTAACACTTAAATGTATAGTCTAGTTCTTATTTCGACCCTTAAAATTTTTGTCAGATGTGATATTTTACATTATGTCCCATCAATCTTTTTATTCGATAACATTAAAAAAAATAGTACGAATGTGATCCTTCTAATCAATTAACGAGTGACACATGAATGACCGAATTAAGAATAAGCTATAGTTTACGAGTCAGACTAAGAATAAACCTTAAATTATAGTAACTTATTTCTAGTTTGGTCATTCACATGCCATTAATTGACTTGAAGGGCCACACCATTTTTAACAGTGTCATGGGAGGGGTTAAAACCATTGTCGAAACAAAACTTTAAGAGCCAAAATTAAAATAAAATTATACTTAAGGGGCTAAATTATCTATTAAGCCTAAAGTTGACGTAATTTAAACTTTAAATATTAATAAAAGAACTTACTCTTGAATTCTTCTAGGGCATCGAGTAACTGGAAGCTTGATTTCCAAATCAAGAGAATTATTTTTTTCACAGTTAAAGTTGATGACATCTCTTCCTTCTAACATCTGCGGCACACGCATGTCAGTTGCCACAAAATGTCAATTCATGTCACCGTTTCGTTACAGATTTAACGGTTGAATTAAATTAAAATTCAGAATAAAAATCAAATAATTTAAAATTCAGAATAAAAATCAAATAATTTAAAATTCAATGCCGAAACCGATACGCGACATAAATTCAAGGACTATTAAAACAATTCACCTTAATTATTATTAGAATGATATTTTTATTTTTCGTACTTCTATATAATTTTCAAATGGAATAACTAAATAGCTTCATTTATTTAAATTAAGTATTATAGAAAAGATGTTAAAGAAGAAACCTGGTAAAGTATGTACCCAAATGCAAGAACATCTTTCTTGGTATCATAATTTTCTTCTATTTGAGCTGTGAAAAAAAAAACGAATAAAGTATAGGCTAAATCAACCATAAAATCTGAAGATTGAGGTTTAGGGTTTAAGGTCTAAATCAGCTATGAAATCTGAAGATTGAAGTTGGGGGAATGGTACAACGTACGACTCTCTTGATTTGGTTGTATTTGATCATACAACATTTGAACCCAATACTCCCCGATTTTCAAGTGCCCACTCTCATCCTGCAATAGATTTCTAAAAATAAAATAAAAAAATTACTTGTTTATAATCTAATTAAATGTAGGTTATGAGGTTAGCTATATTAAATAGTTATTATTTTTGTCGATCGAATTGAATTCAATTAGTATTGTTATCGATATATTATATAGGAAGATATAAGATCAAGTACGTTTAAACGTTTATTATCCTCTAATTTAAAAATCAAAGAATAAATATCGTAACTATAAGTATCTTTGCCAAATTGGGGGTAGAACTTACCTTGGATCCAAATTATTGTGTACTATTGGTTTTGGCTTGTGCTGGTGAAGATAATTCATCCCCCTATGGAATATTTTAGACCATGCCATATTAGTGCCTACATTTTTTCCCACCAATTTGATACTTAAATTATCATTTTGTCTAATTTTATTTTTAAAAAATTATGTTAACAAACAATGTTGTTAACCAATAAAAATATGAAACGGTACAAATAGAATCATCCATAACATGGAAAAGTAAATAATGCCACATAACATGGATAACTAATTCAATACTTAAATCTGAACCTATTGAGTGATATCAGTGATTAAATGGAGCGTTGTTTTTCTTTAAGGTTCTGGGTTCGAGCAATTGCGTCTGCAATATGTGTGCATTGTTAATTATCAAGAAAGATTATGAACAGATACTACCTTACAATCATCCCGGATTATTAAAAAACCAAATACTTAAATATGTTAAACATTATAAATTTGACATCTAAATTTATTACTTTTTCACAAATGTGGTACTTATATTCTTTTAAATTAATTTCAAATGTTATCTTTCGAAATATTATACATATAACGAGAAAGAAAGGAAGAGTACAGTTACCTAGCAATATCAAGTGCATAACGCAAGGCAGTGGGGAAGTCAAGCCGACCTTTCTTTTCCAGTATGAGATCCAAGATATCCTTATTTACCATTAAAAAAGAAAATCGATTAATGTATTTACAGGGACAGACGCAAGATTTTATGTTGGAGAACGAACTTGAATTTATAAAACTTTAGGGGAACGAATTTGAACTTATGAAATTTCAGGAGAACGAAAACAGATTTTCAATAATAAATACATAGAAAAATCTAAAATATATAGTAATTTTAAAATTTCAAGAGGACGATTGCCCCACCCGCTCCCTCGATCCATCCGTATGTATTAGTTTACGAAGGAAAAAATTCATTTTAAAGTTAATGAAATTACTTTTGGTAGATATTCGGTAATCAAAATCATTTCCTCCCCTTGCACGATCGAACCCAGGAACTGTAATATATTGGGATGTCGAAGTTCGTGCAACAATGTGTTATCCTTTGAAGATAATATCCTGACCAAAATAAATCAATTTAATTTTATAACTCAATGGTTTAATTAAATGTAAAACAAATTAATTAAAAGCTTTATTTAACGTAACCTCCCTAAGCCTTAATTTAATCATATAGAATGCATACATTTTGTCAGGGTGTTGAATCTGGCTTTTGATCACTGTTTTAACGACCCATGTTCCACGCCATCTCACCTTCTCGGATTCACCGTATACGCCCTATAGAACACCGTCCACATTCAAATCAAATGCATAATATTTTATGGACAACACATTATTATGTCCCTATATTAACCTAACCCGCGGTTTGATTACTGATGATTTGTCGACATCCAGTTCTGAGATAGCGATCACTTCATTTGAATCCGGTTCATGTCGAACCGTCTGCAGCACAGCATGGATAAGTTGTTCTGGATTCAAACCATAATTTTTCTCGTTGGAGTAATTAGTAAATAAATTGCTGTACCACTGGAGCTTGATCATTCATGGTTGGCTGATTATTGATGAATTCTTTATCATCTATATCTTTGCCTCCATTTGCTTCTAGGACTCTGCATATATCTCGGTGTCTATAAAGTCTTGCATCTGTTAAAGGCTTCAAAAACAAAAACCAAAGTTATTTGTTGGATGCCGACTCAAAGGTTTACAAATCACTTGTGTTAAACTCGAGTTTCGTAACGTATTATTGACGGTAATAAGATGATTATATCAATTTGAAGAGTTTATCTTTCTTGATTTGGACGGAGAGTCACTACCGATGATCGATAAGTAGATAATATTAGGAGAGAATAGAGAGCGAGAATAAAATCTAGAAGAAATTGTTCCAGAAGAAGACCCTTTTTATCTGTCACTAGGGTTTATAAACTCATCTCTCGTCATGTTTGTGTCAGGTCTAGAATCATCATTATTATATGTATGATTATAATTATCAGTCAGATTAACCTTTGATAAATCCTTTGGATTTATCAAAGGTTTATGATCACTCAGAAGATTTTTTTTATATAAAAAAGTTATATTTCCGGAGGTATAGCATGCATGATAATCTTACGAACAAGAAGAAAAAAAACATTAATGCAAAGAAGGTGATGAAGTTGGTGCATACAGTACGGTTCCATCGATCAATGAGGTTGACGTTGGCCTTGTAAAGCAGAAGCAGCTCGACGATATGGGCATGGCCTTCACTGGCGGCGAGATGCAAAGCGGTTCTCCGATCATAGTCTTGAACGTCCGGCGAAATACCGTCCCTCAACATCTGGTTCAGTCCGACCCTATCTCCCCTCGATGCGAAGCTCAGAAAGTTACCGATCAATTGCATGTCAAATCCACTTGAAACATTCTGAAGATCATCGTTCTGCCTTTGACCCATCTTTTTTATCTCAATTACTGGAAGGAAGGGCGATGTAGGTGTAAGAAAACAGCTCAAATTAATGGCGGAATTAGGAGAGTTGGGGTTTGAAAGACGGGCGATTATGTCTAGGACTAGGACAAAAAGAGGGTTTGGTCTTAACGTCAACTACGAGTATGACTTTGTTACTGTAAAAGTTTGTAAAAATCTAGTTTTTAGGATACAAAAAGACAAGGATATTTCATTGCAAATTTCAACGGGTACGTGTGTTTATGCCTGTTGTATTTGTACTTCGCTACCTCATCGACCAACTTGAAAGATGTATTTTTCTTCACGTACAATGATAAATTAAATATTTAATATTTATCAAGGTTAACATGACATTGTCTTTGGACGATACATCAACATTATTATTAATTTTACGATGAATAATAAAAACGGAACTAAAACGTAATACTAGTTATAATTTTGAAAAAAAATAATTATAAGATAATTTTGGCATTTTTTAGCATTTTGACTTTCAAGTCAACATTTTATTTTTGAAAAAAAAACCATACGTGGATGAAACTGTTAGTTAACAAACAAATGATTAACGATCTTTTTTCCTTAAAATGAAATGTTAGGAGTTGAAATGCTTCAAAAGAGAAGAATAAAGGTTACAGTGGCTATTTAATCAAAATGCTAGTGGTCTTTTTATCCTAAAATAAAATTTGGGACCAAAATGCTTCCAAAAAAATAATGGGGATAAAATGATTATGTGGTTAATCGTAAGGGGAATTTTTTTGGTATTACGCCTTATTTTTTTTTATCCTTAGCTCTATTGAATTTGTTGGGAAAGAAAGTTTTTGCTTAATTATGTTTGTCGAGTTGCTAATTTTTCTTCCATTCTTGTGCTGCAGCTCGGAGTCGACACCATCCCTGTCCTTGTAGGACCTGTTTCTTATTTGTTGCTATCATAACTAGCAAAGGGTGTGAATAAATACTTCTCTCTTCTTTCCCTACTAGGCAAGATCCTGCCAATTTACAAGTAAGGCACTAAAATGCTTGCTTGGCCTTTGTAAAACTGCAAATATGTGTAGCCATATTGTCTCGAGTGCTTTGTAATATTTGTTACTTGACAGGGAAGTTATTGATGAACTAAAGGCAGTAGGTGCAACATGGATCAGCTCGATGAGCCGACCCTTGTGTTGGACCTTGAATCGCATCAATTGCAAGCGTCCACTCATGCTTACTCAGAGCTAGGATCATCTTTATATGGACTCAATGTTCTCGTTCAAACTTATTTTGCTGATGTTCCTGCTGAGACATACAAAACACTTACTGAAAGTTAAGAACAGTTTTTTGTTTTGCTGTTCTACAGGCAGAGTTGTGGTCTCTACATCATGCTCGCTTCTCCATTCTGCGGTCGACCTTGTGCACGAAACTAAGTTGGACAAAGAAGCTCAAGTCCTTGGCAAAAGCATTGGTCGGAGAAAAGGACGAGGTATTTCTTTCTTACTAGTTTTGACAGGTTAATGCTAAAGCCTATAGGCTGTTGCTAGTTTTACATATAAGTGGTGTTGATAAACAACTATTGAACTCTATAGAAGCCAAGCTTGCACATTTCTCTTTCTTTTTTTTCTTGATGGTCACTCTACTAGTCTGAGAACCTATCTATAACTTTGAATATTCTGTTTATGATCTAAGTATTCATGTGGAATGCTCTGGGCATCTTATTATTATTTTGTCCTCTCTCCCCCCCCCCCCCTTCAGGTATTTTTCACTTCCAATGCTGTGGCTCATGCTTCACGGAAATCCTCTCCTAGAGTGACAAATGAGGCTGTGCAGAAGGCTGTATGTAATAGAACCTTCATTTTTCAATCTTTTTCCGAAATGGTGTACATGACCTTTTTACTTAAATTTTGATCTGTTCATAGGCTGCTGGCTTGAGGGGCTCCAATCACCGTCGAGCCACGGATGTGAGTGTTAGACTGGATGCTCAGCAGAAGAAGTTGAACCTACCGATTCTTCCTACCACCACCTGTGGTTTTTTTTTTAAATATCAATTTTTGTGGATGATTTTTTTTTTTATTAATTGTGGATGAAATTAGAAGCTTCACGATAGGGACAATAATGCTTTTCCTCCTGCTACATTTCCAACTTTTCATCTGATGCCTACCAAAATTCCACTTTAATGGGTGAATATATTCTGAGCACAGCACGCTACGCCAACTCTAGAAACTCATGGCCCTCTATTAATTATCTATGGAGGTCTCAAATAAGATATCAACAATCACCATTCTCTATTTTCATTTAAATTATCTAATCTATTTTATTTATTTATATTATTTTTTAAATTTTTTACCTACATTAATAGCAGATTATTCGAGTTTAGAACTTTACAAGTATTAGTTGTATTGATGTATTTAGATATGCTATACTATTATGAAGAAAGTTTATTTCAAGATTATTCATAAAATAGATTAGATTGTTTTATCTACTGATCAATAATCAACAATCTTGTAGTCTGATATTGTATCTCGTTTCATAAATGAAAGATCACATAATTATCAAGTATTCGAAGTATATATATATATATATAGGCATTTTATCTCATTTTACAGATTAATGACCATATAAATAATTATCAAATATTCGAAGTATATAACTCACTTTTTTCCTCTCTCTCTCTCCCTCTTCAGGATGTCATTCTCATGGGCGATAGGCAGTCGGTTGACCCTATCTGGTTGCCATTGTCCAGTTCCCCAGCCATCGGCCATATTTTCAAATCGAAGAGACTACATGAAAATAATAAAATTATAATTTTGATTTCCACACTATTTCAGTTAAGGGTTCATCCAGGGGGAATCTCCATAAAAGGACTCTTTGTATGAATAGTAAACAACTCGTCTAAATCCATGGTCACACAACCTCTCAAGTCTCTAGTGATTTGATTTCTCAATTTTCCTCGAAACTTAGTAAACCGTGAAGCAAAAAATATTAGAATCTTTCAGGTCGTTCCACTTCCCGCTCCAATAATTCGAATGAAAACAGCATAAAAATATTAACGCTAAAGCACCACTACTGAACAAAAAACAGAGAACCATCCAACAGAAGCCAATAACATTAAAAAAACACCATAGACGTCCTATTCTTTAATAGAAATCGTAGCAAACTCAATAGCCCTGTTCCCATCCCCCCCCCCCCATTTTTTGGATCCTGGTGAGAGGCCCTTTACTTGGCCATCATCACTTTGACAAACTCCTCATAGTTGATCTGTCCATCACCATCAACATCGGCTTCACGGATCATTTCGTCAACTTCCTCATCTGTAAGCTTTTCACCAAGGTTTGTCATGACATGGCGAAGCTCGGAAGCAGATATAAAACCATTCTGATCCTTGTCAAACACCCTGAACGCCTCTTTAAGCTCCTCCTCTGAGTCAGTGTCTTTCATCTTCCTAGCCATCAGGTTAAGGAATTCAGGAAAATCAATGGTCCCATTTCCATCAGCATCAACTTCATTGATCATATCTTGGAGTTCCGCCTCAGTGGGGTTCTGACCAAGTGATCGCATCACAGTCCCCAACTCCTTGGTAGTAATGCAACCTGTAGCAATGATAAAAGTAAATAAAAGTACAACAAAATCAGACTACAATATTGGTTATCAAACAATCAACATGACTAAATACACTCGGCCAAAAACCAGCAAAGCATTATTGTAATGCTTTTCCAATGCAATAAAATTTCGCTCAGCATACACCATGATGACAAACAGATAACCAAACAAGAACTGGGGAGGATACAGAACATATTTCCTATGTGCCAAGAATACAGAAAATATGTACTCTAAATAACTACTTGTTCTACAAAAAACAAATACATCAAAAAGTGTGCTCATGGATCAGCTAAGAACATGTAATTGCAGAAAAACAATAGTGCATGTCTACAGATCATAAACTAATTCGATAACCTTCAAAGTAATGATCACAAACAAAATAATTTACTGTTTAGGATTACATATCACAATATTAATTGCTTGAATCATCCATAGAAGGTCTTGAATTCTCATGACTTGCCAAAGCCATCCACATTGTGAATTTGTGATCCTAGATTCATAACAATCAAGTATACTAAATGCAACCTTAATAGCTCAGTTGGTAAGAGCGCAAAGCTCTTATCCTTGTGGTCGTGGGATCGAGTTTTACGGTAGGCAATTCATAATTCTCACTGACGTTGGGAGCCAGCCTACTATACTACATCCTTACACCATGAATAGGGTCAGCTAATTTATTATAAGTTGAAAATGCGGAATCAATCAAAGGGAATCACATCCAAAATCCAAGGAAGCTTTGCCAATCAGATTAAAAAATTTACACAAAGGGAATGAAACATTTAATCATGATTAAATAACAATTAAATTCTCAAACCAGCAAATCCCAGGCATAAATTACGCAATACTCACCACATAAAAAGCCAATCTATCCAGGTTATGCTTGCATCTAAAAGATCAAACACTAACAAGTCATACAATAAATTCAAAGAGAAGCCCCAGAAAGGTCAACAGTAATGAAAATGAAAAAAATACCATAAAAATACGATCCAAATCCATCAAAATCAAAGAAATGAAATGGAAATAGACGATCGAGGTCCATAATGAATTCATAAATAGTAACCTAGATCCATCATTTCATTAAAATAACAAAAAACAACGATTGTAAAATTAATAAAATTAAGAGAAAAAAATTAGAACCAGAAACAAAAACGAAGCTTAGATCTATGAATCCGAGCTGAACCGAATGAAGAAAATTATTAAACCGTGAGCCAATAATTACAACATAAAAATTAGAAGAAAATAAAAGAGAGATGAGAGGAAGGACCATCTCCGTCCTTGTCGAACAGGCTAAAGGCCTCCTTGAATTCAGAGATCTGATCGTCGGTAAGTTGATCGGCCATTTTCTTATTCTCTTGAGTTTGTTATTTTTCTTCTCGGGAAGATCTGTTTGGATTGAGAGAAAGTAGCGGAGAAAACTGATGAGAATGTGGAAAATATAGAAGGGAATGCCAGTGCTATATATAGGGCCCATATTTGAGCCCAACACAAATTAAGGCATCTGATTTTCTCTCCTCCGCTAGCATTTTGCTCGCCTTTTCAAAATTAAAAAAAAAATATCAATAAACAATTGTATTTTTCTTTTTCTTTTTTTATATAAAAAAGTACATCTTCTTTGAATACTTTTTCTTTTGCTCCCTCCCCCTTTAAAGAGTTCATGCATCTTCTCAACCTCTAATGAAATTAATTTAGGGTTAATCCTATAAGAAGTCCTCGAACTGTTTAGAAATAATAGATTTAGTTTAAGTAGACTCGAAAATTGTTTGGTTTTGTAAGGATTAACGAACAACTTTAAAAGTTAAATCATTATTTAAGCATTTAACAATTAAAATATAAATATAATTTTTAAAATGAAAATCATAAAATATATGGATAAATTACGTTATCAATGACTAATTTATTATCAATTATTTACTTTAATTACCAAATTATTTTTTAAGAAATGTCAGTAACAATTCGAGACTAAATTGGAACCTGAGAAAAAGTAAAATAAATAATCAAATTCTTTAAAAATAAAAGAGAATTAAAAAGGAAATAAAATACTCTTTATATTTGATCTTGTGATCGGAATCAGTTAAGGCATGTCGCTACACAGTTTCCTTAAGACAAATTTTAGGCCACTACTTAGTGCTCAAAGTCCTTTGGTCGTCTGTCTTCCAGTATATAACAACTAGATGATCAGCTAGAGTAGCACAATAGTAGAGATCATGAACTTTCCTTGACTTCGACTATTACCGGAAAACTAAAGGAAAAAGAATATTTTATGAGAATGAGAGAAAAAAATTTCAAGAGAATAAAACTTCTTGAATTATGAGTTGTGTAAAATCTGAGAGATTTGCTTAGTATTTATATGAGAATTTCGATAGAGTTTTACACCAACTAAAACTCTTTTAATATCTAAATTTAAATAGATAATAATATCTTTTAAATTTAAAATATTAAAAATGAGAGTTTTACTCCAACTAAATATCTTTTAATATCTAAATTTAAGCAGATAATAATATCTTTTAAATTTAAAATATTAAACAGATATACACTCCTTTTATTATTCAAATTAAATAAATATTAATTTAATTTGAAATATACAAAAGTATATAATTATCTTTAATATTCAAAGTTACAAAGATAACAAATATGTTTTTAAATTGACATATTCAAAGAGTAATTATTCGAACTAATATTCAAATTTGTAATATTTAAGGACTCTAAATTTAATATAAATATTAATAAATATTAAATACATCAAAGTAATTCACTTTTTTCCAACAATCCCCCACTTTAATAAAATTGATGACATTTTGACTCGATGTGGTGATAGTATCTACAATCGATAGTTGCATAGGATAGGTAGATGTCCTTTTTTTAACCTTCCCTTGTGACAGTATATTTACTTTACTGGTTAAACAGTAGACGCGGTGTCTTGAATTGTTTTGCCGTTTGTGTAAACGATGGCATACTTTACACAAATACCCCTCTGACGATAATTTGGTTGTCATGGGTATGTCCTTAAAGCCATGTACATTGTTTGGTTCTATAAGAGTTTGAGATAACTATGCCCCAATATTCTCCTTGAAGCGGCCTCACTTTACTATCACATAGGTGACTTATGTTGCTCGATTCATAACAACACACAATCGTCATTAAAAGTCTTGCTTAGCCTATTCTACTTTGATCAATGTTTACATCATAGGAACAAACTTATGATAAGAAATCCCCACAATGACCGTACACGGGTTATACAATTAGGTTGTTCATTTAAACATAGATCCTGGGATATCCAATCAACAAGGTAGAGTTTTCCTTCACATAACACCTTTAAATTTTATGGTCTTTAGTCACATTCCTTTAGATATTTTCTCAACTTGATCTCGATTTAAAACATTGGTTAGCGGATCCGCGATATTATCCTTTGATCTTACATAATCAATAGAGATA